AAAATGGCTCTGAAAAATATGGGTTTTAATTTTAAGGCCCAAGTCCTATGATTTTTTGGGCCTAGCGGGCCGGCCCATGTGGACTAACCCATTTTGACGACTCTACTTCAACTCTTTGACTCCTTCCACAATGGGCCATAATGAGTTGCCCCTACATTTTCCATGCTTGAATGCTCAAGGTAACGTCTATCGTCTCACTAATGACTATTAATCATGAGTTATAACGGTTCAAACATCAATTATGTAATCTCCATGTGACCCTTATTCTGCCTCTTAACTATTAAGATGGGCTACTAACCCGACCATCTGACATCTATCATGGGACAACCTATGTGTTACGTTCGAGCTCCTACACGACCATCTCAACCAACACTTAAAATAGATATTTTGGCTAAGCTAAAAATTATGGGATTTACATTTATTAACCGTGGTTTTGTGAGAAGTGGTTATGATAGTTATGATAAGTGTCGTATTGAAAAGGAATGAAGAAGTAATTCTATACATTATTCTATATATTGATATTATATTCTGGTAAGCTCTAGCAGAAGAGATATTAGTAATATCAAAGAGAATTTGAATGGAGATTTTGAGATGAAATATCTTTGTGAATATAAGAGGATCATAGGTAAGAGAACCATATAACTTTTGGCATCAAAATCCATGTTCTAGAGGAAAAACTCTATTTTTATCTACGAAGAAGCCAAATAGGTGGTTACTATCAAAGGCAGTGCCTCAAGGTCCACACTATTTTTATCGTACAAATCTACGACCACTTTGGTTGGACACGTTTTTCTTTTTGGCCCTGAGCTAAACGACATGCTTTTTCAACCAGGCCATACTTGAGGGTCTTTAGAGGCCTGTGAGAAAGGACAGTCTCCCATTTAACAAGGCATTTTTTCCTTTTGATCAGCAAGCCACCAGATTGATTCTTGGGGTCATCATACCACTTCTCACCCTGCTCAAATTCCTTTTTAGCATGACCATTTTTTTTCCTCACAAATGCTTATTGGGCCCTCTTTCTAAATGAAGAAAAATAAACATTAGGTAAGGTAAACAATCCAACTACAACGCCTAAAAAAATGCCAAACTTATGCAAATAATCTTCATTTTTCTTCTCTCAATTGTCACATTGATCAAACTCTACCATTTCCCCATAGCTCATAATACGAAACGTCTCCAGAATCTCAACAAACTCTCCCCGTGCCTCTCAAGTAATCCCGATTGAAGCCATTTATGGCCACACGGGAATTCGTCCAATACAAATGGAATTGAAGCTCACTGTCCACCTTATACATTATCATGGAATAATCATCTCTCTTCCCCTCACTCTCACAAATTTATCCTTCCAATTTTTGCTGTTGTTTAATTTAGAAGTTAAAAGAACCCTCCTAAATAGGGCTCATAGGGTAACATAACCACCCTTTCTTGTCGTCTTAGTGCCATAAAAGGAAATATGAATTACCGTAGGCGTGACTTCTAGGTTACTACAAATGATATTGAATGCCTTGATGAATGACCATTTGTTGGGAGATATCTATGAAGGAGAGACATTCATAGTCTTAAGGACATCAGACTCAAATATGGCGAAAGGATTTAGCACCCTCAATCTATAAATGATGGGGATATGAATGTAAAAGAACTCGACTGCTGAATAAACATGGGCGACCATGTTAACTAGCTCTATTGGAACAAGATTATTCATACTCTTTGGATTTTGATGATAACAAAGTATTTAGAGAATAAATGGGTATACTAACATATGTTTAAGTGTGCGAGATCACAAGCTAAGAGTTCATCATGAATTAATCATGTTGAAAGCATAAGTAAAGAAGCAATGTTACTCATATTCTAAATGATTAGAATCTGAATGTGTTCATCGACATCTGAAGGTTCAAACTCTGGAATGTTGTTCCAGCCTCTGGTGGCAGCTCAGATTCTGAAGGCTTAAGGTGTCTCTGATTCGTACTTTGTACCAAAGTTGACCAGTCTTGTCAAAATGATATATTTCTAGACAAATTCAACTAGGGTTTAGTTTTGCAAGGCTCAAGGGATGGTGATGTGGCCACTTTAATATGTTCTACCTTTTAGTAGATGCCTAGTACTTGGAAAGGTGTTGTGGATTGTTCTCTTATTCAATGGGCAATACTTCTAACCAGATGCTAGTCTCCAAAGTCTCTCTTGGCATACTTCTTCAATAAGTTTATTGTTGTTCAAACCTCCAATGACTCTTTCTTGGCCTATATAAAAGGAAGCTAAATACTTGATTGAAGGTTACAACATCACAACGCATTACAAGATCTTTGGTATAACTTTGAGCTGTTATTTTTGTAATTGTTATTGCATAATATCTTAAGATTTTTTATCTTAACTTATCTTAGAAATCTTAAAAAGGTTGAGAACTTTTGTGATTGTTGCACAACTATTATACTTCTGATTGTGTATCAAAGTATAGTAGTTATCTTTTCTACTGAATTATTTGTTTAAAGTAGATGAAGTCTTTTACTTGCGTGCTTGAGCATTGAAGTCTCTTGTATGTATACTTGAGCAAGTGAAACCTCTTTCTAGGTTGATTGAGCAGAAGTCTCTTGCAAGATTGTTTGAGCATAAGTCTCTTTCTAGGTTGATTGAGTATTGAAGTCTTTTACAAGTGTACCTGAGCAAGTTGTAAATTGTTTGGTTATAGTGAAAAGATCTTGTTGATGCAAGTGGATTGGACTGCTCTCAGTTGAGGAGAGGAACTAGGATAATATTTGTGTGTTGCTTGCATTTACTTCTTAACACATGATTTCTGCTGATGTTACTTGATTTGATATTAGACTTTGAACGTGGTTCAAATTCTAAAGATCTTAAATCAGAATTGAAATGGATTTTTGGCATACACAATTCAACCACCATTCTCGTGTATTTTTCTCACCTTCAAGCTCCTCTTTAGAGCAGTGTTCCAATATGACATCTTCCTTATCGCTCAAACCAAACTGGTTTATGCTCTTACGAAAAGAAGACACCTTTTCCTCAGTTATGTAAAGATTTTTGAAGTCTTCGACTCCCAAACATTTTGAATAACTGGTCACCATCATTAGTTTTGCATGTTGTGGGAAAAATCGGGTAAAATGGCATCATTATCACTACCAGAATCATAACTGATATCATAAGTGTCAAACATTCCTAATTCTAAAAGTTTATAATCGATTGATCTATCTAACCACCTCACATTCTCCATGTCTCCATATATCCACAACTCCCTCGTAAGTGAAAGGTTTATAACATTGGTATTATCATCTAACTTGATGATGATCGTCATCCTTATAAAAATACAAGATAAATGAGAAGGATAAGTTTAATACCTAACTAAGTGTTAGTGATGATGGTGAGTTGAAAAACAGAACTTGGAGAGAAAGAGTTGAAAGAGAAGGTTGCTCAGAAGGATGTAAAATGTGTGTGCTAAAGTAATAAGAACGATTATTATTCTTATATTTATAAAGCCAGATTTATAAAGCCAAATGTTTAGACTGTGAAGGAATCATTACTAAGTAGTAGGGTTGCGTCTAATAATGGATTGCATAACATTTATAGATCAAGTTCAACGCATGCATATTAATCAATAACTCACTATACATGCGCCTTCCCAAGACAAACTCATCATAGCAAAGCATTAAATGCCTTGCATGCTTACCACTCTTGAAGTACTCACCACAAGTAATGCTTCAAGGACTCTCCCAAAGCCTTGCTTGAAGGACTCGTACCTATATCTTATCTTGGGGGCTCACTTTCCCAAGTGTATTCACAAAAAAGATTGTCTTCTACCTAGCTTAAATCATTTTTCCATTTCCAAGCCTCATGCTTGAGGGTCTGTGGACTGATATAACTTTAATTGGATCCTATAAAAGAATGATCCATAACTCGATTAGACCAAAAATCATCGTAAAAGGCGATATGGAGAATTAGATGGGTGTGACATGACGGGTCATGGGTCCCATTTCTAACCCATCACGTGTAGGACATGGCTCGCCCGACTCAAACTTGTGTCTTTTTACACATTAAACATAAAATAATTCAAAAAATTTGATACAAGACTAGCATTCACACGTGTGTAGACGTTTTTCAAAAGTCAACTTTGTTTGTTTAGTTAAATATATTGTACTTACGGAAAATACAATAAAGATTATCATGCTTGCGTGAGAAATACAATAAAGGTTTAGGTATATGAATATATGAATAATAAATCCATACTACCAGTCTAAGGGGGTTGGGATATTTATAAACCTATTTCATGGGCAAAATTATTGAGTGCAAAATTGCTTTCCATCTAAATTGTTTAACTAAAGTGTGAGAATAGGAAGACCAATTTTCTCTCTTAGTATGAAGGAGTGGTTTCTTCCTTGGAGAGGTGGTAAATACTGGCCCTTTCAGAAACACATGATCGGATACATATTAATGTAGTTCTCATTTGATGGATTCCTTAAAAACTCTAAAATTTTGAATAAAAATATGGTGTTTAAAATTCTAGATAATTCATAGTCATTAAGTGATTCGTATATGAAGTTCTCTAAAGCTTATGTACTTGAATTTTTTTAAAGAGTAAAAAATTTGAAATTTTAATATAATTTTTATTATGAACATTTTATTTAAATACTTTAAGAACATACTTGGAAAGTGACAAAGTTTGTAGGGGAGGGGTATGACGTATGAGGACTAGGTTTAGGGATAGAAAGTATAAAATTCATTTAGTCAATGGGCCTAAGGCCCGAACTTACTATTGAATTTGAAACACTAGCCCGGTCCTTACTACTAGGGTATCTACGAGGGACATGGATATAGAATCTTCCCAAAATTTGATTTCATTCCTAAGCAAAATTATAGCGACAAAATAACAAATTATACCATCCTTCAATAAATCATCATATAATTCATATTTTCAATTTTGTTTTTGAATATACTTGTGTGGATTGATTCATCAATTCGGATTTTCATTCATCAACCAATCATACGGTTGAGAATCGATGGATCTAGCGGTGGTTGGTCGACACGCGATGCTCTTCGACGACGACGGCATGGCGGCGTTCGTAAACTCGCCGGAAGCTCTCGTTGATTGGAACTCTCTCTCAATCGATCGCTACGATGTTCGACATCTCCTCTCCGGTCCCATTCCTCCTCGCCCCAAGCGCCGCCCTCTTCATCCTCCTTCTTCCATCGAAGCAGACCTTGACCATCAACGTTATCTCGATCTTCCTTCATCTCCTCCTCATGAACAACCACAAGGTAACCTAGTTTCTCTTCTTCTAGCATCGTATTCCTTTCTTTTATATTTTGTTTATTCGCTATTGTTTTATGTTTAGTTTCTCTTTTAATTAGCTTTGTTTATATTGAATCGAATTTGTTGTTTTGAGTTACTAGAGGTTATGATCGGTGATATTGATATTGCTTTATGTTAACACACGAGATGAGTTGCAAATTTTTGTAAGAGTTGAACACTGTTTAGTGGATTAAATGGAAGATAGTCTGATTAATAAGGGTAGAGGAAGTTACAGGAAAGTTTTAGGGAAAATTATTAAAACTGTTTGACTAAACTTTTTGTTTTCGATAACACTTACCTAGTGAATTAGGCATTATGGTGTGATTGTTATGGTAGCGGTGGAGCTAAAATAGTTTAATCTTTCATTATTGAAGAATGGATTGCATGCACATATTCTTATATGCAAAGTACTTTTAGATTTATCCACTTTGTTGTTATACTGAAGGATGGTCCTGGATAGAACATTATGGCAATATTATGGCGGAAGCTAGGTGGCACGGAAGCTAGGTAGCACTGACACCTCTGGAAAAAGAGGTGTCTGTGTTCGTGTCGGACACCTCCCTCGTCACTTGTGATTACATTTAATTTATTCATTTTTTTTCCAAATTATTACTTGTGTCGCCGTGTTCGTGTCGGAGTCGTGTTCGTGGTGTCCGTGCTTCATGCTTCATAGGGCGGAAGTTGATTCATGTAGCCGACCCTGCATAGGAGATAAGGCTTAGTTGTTGTATTGTTATAAAGACTTTTGTATTTTTGGAACATATTGTGTTAATGAATCATGGAGAATTCTCTAATATATTTGTTTTCAAAACAAACTAGAGTGAACAAGTCTTTTTAATTGGTTCTCACCTCTGACAAATGGATATATTTGCTTTAAAGTGTCATTTAGTTGAGGGCGTGATGTAACTAGGTGATGGTGTAATGTTGCCTGATGGCCATTAAGTTTGATTTTGTTTTCATGGTGGATGTTTGGAGTTAGGGAAGCTCTTTTTACAACTTTCACTTAAGACTATGTTTAGTTTTTTGTTTTGTACAACAACAATCTCTACATTTGCAGGATGCAATCTAATATGCTACGGTTCCTGTGTCAGACTACAAGTAAGGATGTTTTCATCAGGCTTCCATTTTTGTTCTAGTTTCTTTGGTGTTAGTGCTCTTACTATTTTAGGTGTATGATATAGTTGCAGTTGAGAATTGTATGTGATTCTGACGAAGATGTCTTCTTTCTTTGTTTGTTTAGATGATGATTCAGGTGCAGTGGATTCAGCTGGCTATCGTGCTGTTGCATTTTCATATGAAAATTCTAATGTGTCAACTGAGACAAAGGGCAATGATACTGAGTCTGGTTTTCGTCCCAACTTTCCAGTACCAGAAAGCTTACTTCATAACCTGGTGAGTAATCTGTCTTAGAATATACTCCGATCACGTGATTTTCATATGTTTTAATTGACCCTCTCATTGTTTAACCAATGTGACTAGGTGATAATTGTATAGGGTACATATGTTATTCTAAGGCTTATGATGTCTAAGTTTCAGATGCTTGGAGCATAAACGAAGTTCTTGTGACTCGAGGTAGCCATTCACAGGCCACCTTTTTTCCTTTTGATATCATGAGAAGGGGCTGTGCAGGTGGGATTAGGATGATAGAAATTGTTGATTATTTGCCTCTCAAGAGAAAATGGGATGAAACATATCTTCTTAAAGCTCTATTTCTTGATCTTTATGATTATTCAAGTATATATGAGGTTGTCTTGTGTCTGTTTAATAAGTTCTTTATGTATATATAGTGCCTGGCATGACCCTTTTTTAAAATAAGAGTTATGCTAATGCTAATTTGTAATTCACATTTATTGACAAAAATCCTTTTTTGTTTTTGTTTTCCAGCCTCCAAATGAGAAGCTACATCAGATTATTTCAAGGACTGCAATATTTGTCAGCAAGCATGGAAGCCAATCAGAAATTATTCTGAGGGTGAAACAAGGAGATAATCCAACATTTGGGTTCCTGATGCCTGATCATCATCTTCATCCGTATTTTAGGTTTCTTGTTGATCATCAAGAACTTCTGAATGTCGAAAAAGTTGATGTAGATTCAGCATTGGACAAGAACAGAAGTCAGGGGCCGGATCAAACAGGTGGCGCATTGTCTTTGCTTGGATCTGTCTATGGATATGGAGAGGATGAGGATTGTACAACAGAAAATACTAGTGACCTTGATAGAAACACACGTGTGGGAGTTGTTGATTCCACTTATGCCTCTACAAGGATAGAACGAACAGAATCATCCTCAGATCCAGCCAAGGATGAAAGCATTTCTAAAAACCAAATACCTTTTAAAGAAAAAGTTCCTGTTATAAAGCGGAATCAGTCTATCGGTAACGTTAAGATCGTAACTTCAGGAAAGGTAAAAACAGGAGATATCCTGGATTCAGGGTCTAATGCTGCAAATAAATCACAGACTTCTGTACCCAGTACAGCTAAGATTGAATTGCCTGTTGTTGAACCTCCATCTGACATAAGAGTAGTTATTGAGAGGATCGTTGAGTTCATCTTAAAAAATGGCAGGCCATTTGAGGCCGTTCTTGCTGAACAGGATCGTGCTCATGGAAGGTTCCCATTTCTTCTGCCTTCTAATCAGTATCATACTTACTATCTGAAAGTTCTTCAAACTGCTGAAGAGGTATGTTTCTCATAATCATTAAATTTTCCCCTTGCAATTCATCTGTTTCTGTGATTGAAATAATTCCCTGAGAAATTAGTTGGAGTTTACTGCATTATAGAACATGATTCATGAACACTATGATTGAATAATTTGCACATTAGGCTTTCCCTCTAATTAAGTTGGTTATTCTCATAATCATTTTATGTTTCATTTGATTTATTTTAATGTTTTTTAAATTTGATTTTGATCTAATGACCTTTTGATTTGCTCAGTCTAAATTACCAGGTAAGGGCTACCAGAAGTACAATCCAGCTGGTCGGGCAAGAGATAATAACACTGCTGCATATGAAGAAAATGACAATAAATTCAAGATGATTATTGGCAATTTAAAGGATGGTCAAGAGCCAACTCCCAAAGACAGCCAATCTCAAACTACAGTTAACATCCATGCGGCGGCAGCCGCTGCTATTCTTCAGGCAGCTACTAGGGGTATTAAAAGGCCCAATTTAGAAATTTTTAGTAAGACGTCAAGTGGTAATGGTCAAGGCCTTGGAAGTGATGGTAGGAATTTGTCCATCTCTGGGAGTTTGCCGTCATCTCAATGGCAGGGTTTTGTTCCACATTTCAATCTGAACGCAGAGGCTAGTGCTTCTGTTCCAGTTGCCAAGGCTATTGCAGAAAAAGTGGCTATTGCAGCAGCAGGTGAGGCAGACTCCTCTGAAGCACATATGTCTAAAGAGCAAAAGCTTAAAGCAGAGAGATTGAAACGTGCGAAGATGTTTGCAGCCATGATAAAAAGTGGAGCTGGAGCACTTAAAAGTGAACTGCCAAGAGCTTTCTCTGTTGAACCACCAGGCTCTGGGCTTTCAGGTTCAGATGCTGAGATTGGAAATCTTGTGAGTAAAGAAAGAGAAGGAAGTTCCGTTCCATTCAACGCTGATAACTCGGATAAAAGTCATAAGTCTGAAGAAAAGCTATCTGATAATAATTCAGATAGAAGTCACAAGTCTGAGGAAAAACTTGCTGTTGATAATAATATTGAAAGGCGATCAAAAAGAAAGTACCGATCAAGGTCCAGTAGACATGAAGAAGAAGAAGAGGAAGAGGTAGAAGAAGAAAATAAAGAAGATATAAGGGATCAGAAACGATCCAGAAAAAAGCATCGATCACATCGATCTTCACACAGAAGTCGTGATAGAGATTCAGACAGAGACAGGGATAAAATCAGGCGGAAGCACAACAGAAGAGATTCAGACAGAGATAGGGACAGAATCAGAAGTAAGCATGATAGCTCTTCCGACGAAGAGCATCAACACTTGAGGCGTCATAGCAATTATGATAGCTCCTCTGATGAAAAGCACGGATCTCCTAGACGATATCGTGGAGAGAGTGGCTTGTCAGACCGTGAGCATAGACATTCCCGTAGACATTATAGTTCATCTGAGGATGAGCATAGACACCGACACCGAAGCAGAAAGACAAAGCACAAGAGCAGGAGGTCTCATGCCGAAAGAGATGCTGAGTTGGAGGAGGGGGAGATAGTGAAATCAGACAAGTCGCAAGTAAGCGAACTTGGGCGAGTTAGCAGGGAGGCTTCTGCTGAGTTATATAAGTCTACAAAAGCACCATCTCAATCACCTGAAGTAACTAATGTTTCTGATGAGCTTAGAGCCAAAATTAGAGCCATGTTGATGGAAAATTTGTAAAACCAAAATTGGGCTCTTAATGTATTTTTAGTCTCTAATAATTTTTTCAATGATTTGTTCAGCTAAATACAAACAGTTAAAAGTTTTTCAATCTATATGTTTTCCATAGCTGTTACTAAGATATTTATTTACATTGTAAAAAAAATCGACCTTGACATTTTGGCCAAGTCTAATTTTGAATTCTTCGATGTTGGGGCTTCTGCTTCATGGTTTGGATGGAATGTTATCAATGACTATTTTGAGATCATAAGTAGTCTTCTGTAGAGGGAAGATGTTCAAAGGATAAAGTTTACTAGAAGAGCCGATCCAAGGGCCAGGTAGCCTAAGCTAGAGCATAATTTTGTATTTATTTAATATGGTTTTACTATAGAACTATTTAGGCCTCTGTACATGTTGGGTGACCATGTTTACCATAATCCTAGGTCTTGATCTGCATTAATTTATCATTTTCTATGAGTTGCATGCATCAACTTCAAGAGAATATCTATACAATGGGGTATGACCTATTGATGTTGAGGAATGATAAGAAATACCTTTCAAGTTTGGATTAACAAGTTATTTGATGTGAAATACCTTTCAAGTTCGGATTGACAAGTTATTTAATGAATTCGAAGAAGTATGCTACCGATACCATGAGTATATGGATCTAGAGAATCAGCTAAAAAAGGAAAAGAAGTTGATGAACGATGGTGAGAGGTTGAAGAAGAAAGTTAAATGGTGAGAGGTTGAAGAAGAAAGTTAAAGATAACTCTAAGAATGTTGGTGTTGAGATTACTTATTTACACTTGAAAAATTGAAGAGTTTGAAGCCGAGGTGAATACCCTTCAAAGAGAGGTTAAAGAGATGAAGTATGAAAAATTGTCTTTACAAAATTAGGTTAAAGACTTTAATAATATCAACTCTGACATGGAAACCACGAGACTGTTATTGATTTTTTCAAAGTAGTCGTTCAAGTGAATCTCACAGCTTTTGACGTCTCTTTGCAAGGTTTTTTAATCAAGGATATTAAATATGACTTGCTGGTTGAAGTTGTTGATGGGGATGAAGCCAATGAGGAGGATGATACTTTTTTTATATAGAAAAAATTGAAGTTTTTGGTGAAGATAATGATCAACCCAAACTTATTGAAGGAATTGAGGTCATGGGTAAAACAAATGATAAATAATCAATGTTAAATTTAACGTCGCTGGTGGGATAATCAGTCAACTTGTGGTAGTTATAATTAAAAACTCCTTAAGAAGAGTGATGCTTGAGCTGAAATGTATAAGATTATTGATATAAATTCTAAAGTGAAACTATGTTATGATACATTATTTACGTTATTTTTTTTTTTATAATTAACTATTTGGTCGGTACACGTTGCATCTCATCACCGGCCAATAAATTATTTGCTCATGACTTTGACAAATTTTATTCATTTATGTGATTTTATATGTTGCATCATCACATTATACATATGTTTTCATTTGTGCTTATTTTGTAACATTTTTTTTTATAAATGCTTCTTTGAATAATATGTGTTTTTTGAAATTATGTGATATGTCTATTGTGATATTGACCTCTAGTATTTATTGTTGGACGATTATATTGTTCTTATCATAAGTTTGTGGCGACCTTAAAAACAATATATGATATGTTTTTTAATACTTTTGTCTTACTTGTTAAGAAAAATATGGATGACTAAAAGAGGTGATCTTTAGTTGATTTCTTGTTGATGATTAGAAAATAAGTCGTAATATTTGTGCCAATAAAATCTCATAATATAGTGAGTGTAATTATCGAATCCATAAAGATGTATTCTTGCACAAGGACAAGGTGAGTGCACATATTATGATAGCACGTGAGGATAACATAATAAAGACTGCATTGAACTCGATTGAATTGTTTTCCTGTTGTTAAAATAACTATTATTCTACCGAGTTAACTAAATGAATGAAAAGTGATTAGATCCCCATGTTGAATCAACTATCCCTAGATATGAGAATTCATATAACTACTCTAGTAACTACTCTAATTTATTATGACATTTACCTTTTACGGCCTCCAAGATCTAGGAGGTAGATACCCCCGTAACTACAAAGTATGCATCCATTAGCAGCGATCTCTCATGACCTAAGAGGGAGGTTATCCCATGCCATCACTAACGTATTTATTAAAGCAAAACATTTGTAAATAAGAAGATATGTCTACATTATTGATATTTATGACCTCTAAAGACTTGAGGGGAAGGTACCCCATCCAACAAAAGCATTAATTCGTTAACAGGGATCCCTTATAATTTGAGAGTGAGGTACCCTTATACTACCACTAACGAACATATATTAGCGTGTAAAACAAACTAATGGTCGAGATTATTTCCATCACAACATGAACTAAACTTTCACTTTCCCACAAGTTTGAGGATGATAAAGTATGGATACTTTATATTTCACGTTGAATTTTTCCAACACACCTTCCAAATATTTATTACAGAAGTGCGTCTTCCATCACTGATTAAGACTATAGGGACTCTGAACCCAACAAAAACATTATTTTTCAAAACATTAGAAGCAGATTGGGCATCCTTAACAGCCCAAGCTATGGCTTTGACCCATATGATTACATAATTTACACAAACAAGAATGCAAATATGAGAGTTTGATGGTGGAAAAGGACCCATAAAGTCAATTTCCCAACAATCAAAGGGTTATACCTCTATCATACCATTAAAAGGCATATCTTCTCACTTTGAAATGTTACATGTTTTCTAGCACTCAAGACATTTCTAAACATACAACTTACCGTCTTTGAATAGAGTTGGCCACCAAAATCCACTTTGAAGCACTTTCTCTGTGGTTTTTCCTCCACTATGGGGGCCTTCATAAGTTGAGCTATGACAGTGCCACATAATGTTTTTAGCTTCTTTACGTGTAACACAATTAAGAATTAAATCGTAAGTACTAATTGTAAACATATCAGGCTCATCTCATAAATAATGATTAGTCTCTTTGTAGAATTGTTTCTTTTGTTGTTATGTGTAGTCTTTTGGAATACTCTTTGTAGCTTTATAATTGACCATGTCAACAAATCAATTTTGTTCACTAATTGTCATTAAGTGTTCATTTGAAAACTATTCATTAATGTTCTTTTCTTTTCGAGTCACCTCATTGTTTTCCAACCTAGATAAATGATATACTACCACATTTTTTACTCCCTTCATGTCTTTTATTTCTAAGTCAAACTCTTGTAGGAACAATACTCACTGTAGTAACCTCGACTTAGATTCTCCTTTGTTATTTCAAGGTTGCATGATCTGTAAAAATAAAAACTTTCAAATCAATTAGATATGCTCAAAATTTTTCAAAAGCAAATACTGCAGCTAATAATTCTTTTTCAGTGGTGGTATAATTCACTCTATTTTCATTTAAACCCTTAGTAGCATAGTAAATGGTGTGGAAAAATTCTTGTGTCGTTAACCAAGAAATGCTCTTACCGCGTAATCGCTCGCATCACACATAAGTTCAAAGGAAAGTTCTCAACTAGGAGCGAAAATTACGAATGCAATTACTAACTTTTCTTTAATGATAGAAAAATATTTAAAACACCCATCATTAAAAGCAAAATCATTTTCCATGACTAGGAGATTGCAAAGAGGCTTTACAATTTTAGAGAAGTCCTTTATAAATCTTCGGTAGGAACTGATATATCCTAGAAAAACTCTCACCCCTTTAACACGTTGGAAGTGGTAATTTTTCAATAACCTTAATTTTGACTTAATCAAACTCGATGCCTTCTGATTATATTTTATGCCCCAGAATGATACATTCAATAACCATAAAATGACTCTTTTTTTCCAGTTCAAAACAAGGTTTGTTTTGGTACATCTCTCTAGAACATCATTAAGGTGAGCAAGACATTGATCAAAATCACTACCCAAAATGGAAAAGTCATCCATAAGTACCTTGATGGAAGATTCAATCATATTATAAAATATTGAAATCATGCACCTTTGAAAAGTGGTGGGAGCGTTGCATAATCCGAATGACATCATGTGACCGGCAAACACTCCTAAAGGACATATGAAAGTAGTATTTTCTTTATCTGTAGGATCTGCTGTAATTTGAATTAATCCTGAATAGCCATCCAAGAAAAAATAATATGCTTAATCTGCTAATCTCTCTAACATTTGATCCATAAAAGGTAATGGAAAATTATCTTTTCTAGATGCTTGATTTAACCTCTTATAATCAATACACATTCGCCATCTGGTAACCATTCAAGTTGGAATCAACTCATTATTTTCATTTTGAACGACGACAATACCTCCCTTTTTAAGGACTACATGCATTAGAATTACTCAAGAATTGTCAGTAATAAGATAGATCATACATATTTTCATTAGTTTCAGGACTTCTTTTCTTACCACTTCTTTCATGGTAGGATTTATTCCTTTTGTGGTTGACTACTGACTTGAATTCTTCTTCAAGATTTATCTTATGCATGTAATAAGTTGGTTTAATACCTTTCAGATCAGTCATTCTCTAATTCAGTGCTTTCTTGTTATCTATTAAGACTTGCAATAAAATTTCTTCTTCTAGAGTTTAAAAAGAGCTACTAATGATGGCTAGTTGTAATGGTTTCTCACCTAGAAATACATACTTCAGATGTTTCGACAACTCTTTCAACTCAAGATCTTTTTTATCTAATGGTTGACCTTGTTTCTTGTTGCCACCTAATTCTTCAATTTTTCTCGTTGCATGATTAACCTGTGTTGCTTTAAGTTGAAGTAAACATTTAACTACTTCCATATCAGATTCATCTTCAACCTATTCAACTGAATTAAGAATAACTCGATTTATTGGTGGTGAAGGTGTTTTTTCCGCAGTTACCACTTAAATAAATTCCTCAACCACATCAATTCTATAACATTGAGGATTCTCTTTTTGATGTCTCATAGCTTTAAAGGCGTTGAAGAAATTTTTTTCTTTGATGAATCTCAATAGTAACTCGCCTAATTCTAC